CTGATTTAGGATAAGAAAAAAAATCAAAACAGGTAAGGTTGACCAGCTCAGCAAAAATAGAAAAGCGAACATGCGGCTTGGCATGCAAACCTTTTCTGTAATTAGATGGACGCATCATACTAAGCTGTCATTTGATAACCATCATTTATTAAGGACAACATCCTAAGCCAAAACTAAATGAAAGACATGTCCCTCACCTTTCCCCATAGGCATCTGACATAGAGGTAACTTGTCAATTTATGACAACTGAGCCCCAAATTTCTGTGGCTAAGTAAAACGGTTGTTAAGTGAGTTTTGTCCCATTTTACAACCTTTCTTGCCACTGTTAAGGGAATCACTGCAGTTGTTAACTTAGTAACATGGCTGTTAAGTAAATCTGGCTTCCCCATTGACTTTGCTTGTCCGAAGTCACGAACAGTGAACGCATGACCCCGAGACACTGCAACCGTCGTAAATATGAGTCAGTTGCCAAGAGTCTGAATTTTGATCCTGTGACCATGGGGATGCTGCAACGGTCGCAAGCGTGAAAAACAGTCATGTTGCTTTTTCTAGTGCCATTCTAACTTCGAAGGGTCACTAAACAAATGGTCCTAAGTCAAGGACTATCTGTATATGGCTGAAAATTTCATTTGCACCATGAAGGAACTGGAAACATAATCAAGAACCCCAAATAGTAAAAATAGCTCTCCCCTCTTTTTCAGCTTTGAACAGCATTAACTAATTAAAAGGAATTATATCATTTCCTGTGATAATAAACTTTTAATCAGTTCAGTATATGTATATCAGTGGTGGTGATATTTTTTTACTACCGGTTCTGTGGAGGTGGCATGGCATGGCATGGCTTGGTGGGCGTGGCAGGAGAAGGATTCTGTAAAATCTCCATTCCCTCCCCACTCCAGGGGAAGGTTACTGCAAAATCCCCATTTCCTCCCAATCAGCTGGGACTCAGGAGGCAGAGAACAGATGGGGGCGGGGCCAGTCAGAGGTGGTATTTCCCGGTTCTCCGAACTACTCAAAAGTTCTGCTACTGGTTCTCCAGAACGATTCAAATGTCACAAACAATAGAGGTAATGGCCATGGCTATATTTCGAAGAAAGACTCTAATGTGCTTTGTGGCTTTGAACAAAGCAAATGTGTAGGATTGACCCACACTGAGTGGGTGGCCAAAAAAATCCCCTTTTCTCTGCCAGGTGACCTAATTATCACCTCCTACCTCAAACATTTACTTATAAGAGACTGTAAAGTAATGAGCATAGGCCTTTGCAACTATGATAAACAGGGTGTTGCTTAGTGTAAGTAAGAGTTGCTGAAGTTAGATGGAGAAGAAAATCAGCTCCATTAGTCTCACAGATATGAGAGAGCAAGAGCATGTGATGTGATGTGAACTATTCACATCACAGCACAATAGCAACATTAAGAATAACTCATCTTTGGACTTCCGGGAAAATAATGGCAGAATGAAGAGAGCTTTAGGGCAAGCGATGCAGTAAAAAGAGGAACCGGTGAAGGGTTCATCAACAACCCCAGATCAAGGAGAGGGCTAGGATGACTCATAGGGTTGGCTCCATATAGAGCCTCCCCAAAAGAGACCGTAAAATAGCAATATCCAGTGAGTTTTAGAACTTTGGAAGCCAGTCAGATAAGCATCTTGTTCAAGCTGTGGTTCAGCCCTTGGTTCGCCCACCTCCCCTCTTAACCACGTTAGGAAATTGTTTGCCATTGATTTTTTGGGATGTAAAAAAAAAAAAAATCCTCCTGAAGGGCAAGGTTTACTGTGCCGGGAGAGTTTTCTTTCACCTGTGATGAAAGAAGCTTCGTATAAATTTAAGGATTATAACAGAAAAAAAAAATACTTTTGGAAATTAGCAATAGTGGGACTACAATGGTTGACTTTCGAAAAATAAGGGGCCAGATAGACTTGAAATACATCTTGTGGATTTTTAAAAATTTTATTTTATGTATGTTATAGATATATCTATATCTATAGCTGTCTCTCTCTCTCTCTCTCTCTCTCTCTCTCTCTCTCTCTCTCTCTCTCACTCTCTCCATCTTGATATTAACTCTTAAGAAATCATCTCATGAGAAAATTTCATTGATTGAAAATAAATATAAGGGAGGATTCTGAAGATTGACTAGGGAAATCAGAGAGCATAAAGATTATAATTCAAGTGACCATTAACGGAGCAATATGATTTGTCTGTAGAAGAAATCAAGGCTATTTAGGAACAAGGTATTCAGAAAATACTGCTACGATTGATTGCCATTATAGGTAGATCTCACTTAATGACCATTCATTCAGTGACCATGAGAAATTACACAGGCGCCGAACAAAGGGACTTAAGATCAGTACCTGAACTTGCAAGACATGGCGGTCATGATTGCAATCTGGGTCCTTGGCAACCCATTCACATGACAGGTGTATCCCGCGATTATGTGATGGCCATTTATGTTAATGTTAATGTTGTAAGCCTCCCAGACTCACCTTGTGGCAAGATGGGCAGCAAATAAATTTAACCCCCTCCCAAAAAAGAAACAAATAAATAAATAAGGGCACGCCACTCGAATATAAACTGAGAGCAAACCCTACTCCTTACTAGCACTGTGGCTGGTGTTACCTAGTTTGGAGAAATAGAATAGAATAGAATAGAATAGAATAGAATAGAATAGAATAGAATAGAATAGAATAGAATAGAATAGAATAGAATAGAATAGAATAGAATAGAATAGAATTCTTTATTGGCCAAGTGTGATTGGACACACAAGGAATTTGTCTTAGGTGTATATGCTCTCAGTGTACATAAGGAGAATAAAATACATTCATCAAGAATAAAAAGATACAACACTTAGTGATAGTCAAGGTTACTAATAAGCTATCAAATTGTACAAGGATTCAATATAAATTGAAAGATACAAGCAACATGGTTATAGTAATAAGTGGGAAGAGATAGATACTAGTAAGGAAGAGAAGAATAATAGTAATACAGTCTTAGTAAATTATTTGACAGTGTTGTGGCAATTAGTTGTTTGGCAGAGTGATGGCATTCGGGGAAAAATTGTCCTTGTGTCTAGTTTTTCTGGTGTGCAGTGCTCTATAGAGTCTTTTTGAGGGTAGAAGTTGAAACAATTTACGTCCAGGATGTGAGGGGTCTGTAGATATTTTCACAGCCCTCTTTTTGACTCGTGCATTGAAACGTCTGCAAGAAAACAACCAACTTCAGAGAGCACCAAGAACCCCTCATTGCTACATACAGAGAACTATTTAGGGCAGCATTCAAACCACATCCGTATTCCAGAGCCTGGAAATGGAGTCGCCCTCTCTGTGCTTCTCTCTTCCTCGGGATTGCCCCGGGAGAAATACAGGTAGTGCTTGACTTACAACAGTCCGTTTAATGACCGTTCAAAGTTACAACGGCACTGAACATTCTGACTATGGACCGTTTTTCACAGTTACGACTTTTGGAAGCAGCCTCCCCATGTTCGCGTGATCAAAATTCAGACGTTTGGCAACGGCTTCATACGGATAGTCCTCAACTTACAACCACAATTGAGCCCAAAATTTATGTTGTTAATTAAGTGAAAAATTTGTTAAGGGAACTGGTCCCATTTTACGACTTTTCTTGCTACATTTGTTAAGTGAATCGCTGCTAAATTAAGTGAATCGTTGTTAAATTAGTAACAAGGTTGTTAAATGAATCTGGGTTCTCTACTGACTTTGTCCGAAGGCCACAAAATTTCTCCTGAACCCTGCAACCATCATAAATATGAGTTAGTTGTCAAGCATCTGAATGTACATCAATGTGACCATTGAGATGCTGCAATGGTCATACATGTGAAAAATAGTCATCAGTCACTATTTTCAATTGCCATTGTCACTTTGAACGGTCACTAAATGAACTGTTGTAAGTTGAGGACTACCTGTATTTGGGATGGTTACAGTGTCCTTGGGTCACGTGATCTCCTTTTGTGACCTTCTGATGAGCAAAGTCAATGGGGAAGCCAGATTCACTTAAAATGGTGGTCGTAAAATGGAGCAAAACTCACTTAACTGCCTTGCTTAACAACAACAATTTTGTCCTTACTTGTGCTCGTAAATCAAGGATTATCTATAATTACCTATAAATACTACCTGTATTTATGACCGTAGCCATGTCCCAAGGTCCCGCAATCTCCTTTTGCGACCGTCTCACGAGCAAAGTCTACAGGGAAGCTAAATTCACTTTAACAACCGAGTTACTGACTCATCGGCTGCAGGGACTCACTTAACAACCGCGGCAAGAAAGATTGTAAAGGTCACTCAACCTATGTCTCGCTGAGCAACAGAAACGTTGGACTCCAGGGGGGTTATAAATGGAGGACTCCCCGTAGTGTCGTGGAATGCGACCAGGGCTGTAAAGGAAGAGGAGGAGAACAGAATAACGAAGAGTTGGAAGGGACCTTGTAGGTCATCTAGTCCAACCCCACGTAGTTGCGTGGGCTGTAAAGGAAGAGGAAGAGAATAGAATAACAGAAGAACTGGAAGAGATCTTGTAGGTCATGTAGCCCAACCCCACGAAGTTATGTGGGCTGTAAAGGAAGAGGAAGAGAATAGAGTAACAGAAGAATCGGAAGGGACCTTGTAGGTCATCTAGCCCAACCCCACGAAGTTATGTGGGCTGTAAAGGAAGAGGAAGAGAATAGAGTAACAGAAGAATCGGAAGGGACCTTGTAGGTCATCTAGTCAACCCCCATGCCCAAGCAGGAGTCCCTAACACCATTTCTGACTAATGGCAGTCCAATCTTTTCTGAAAAAACCGTCGGCTTTCCTTTGGTCCGCCGAGAACCTGGAGGCATCTCAACCCCATTGAACCGTCCTCCTCCTCCTCCTCCTTCCTCCTCCTCCTCCTCCTCCTCAGCCATTTCTCGCCTCAGGCGCGCTTCACTCCCGGTCTCCTCCTGAGGCGAGCCGCCGAGAAAGCGAGCGCCCGGCTGCCCGAGAAAGAGGAGGCGGCAGCGGCGGCGGAGGAGGGAGGAAGGAGGCGGTCGTCAGGGGAGGAGCCAGCCGCACCGCCGGAGCGAAGCAGAGCCGGAGGAAGACGGAACCGGGAGGAGCGAAGAAAAAGAAGAAGAATTAGAGGAGGAGGAGGAGGAGGAAGAAGAAGCAGGCCCGGAGCTGAAAGGAGGAGAGCGCTGAGGCGGCTAGGCCAGACGCGCCTCCCCAACCCCCCCCCACCGCGGCACGGCCGCCATCATGGAGCAGCAGCAGCAGCAGCCGCCCGTCAGTCGGTACCAAGTGGTGAGCGACTCCCTCCGGGTGGGGGTGGCGGTGTTGTTAGACGGCGGGTGGAGCCGGCCTGGTGAGGCCGAGGCCTGCCGACCGAGCGTCCCCGGAGGACCCTTGGAAGGGGGGAAAAAAACAGCCGCGAGGAGCGCTTCTTCCTCCCTTTCTTCTCCTTCCCTCCTTCCTTTCTTCCCTCCTTCTTTTCTTCCTTCCCTCCTCACCCCTCCTCCTTCCTCCCTTGCTTCCCTCCCTCCCTCCTTCCTCCCTTGCTTCCCTCATTCCCTCCTTCCTTCCTTCCCACCTTTCTTCCTTCCCACCTTCTTCTCTTCCTTCCCTCCTCACCCCTCCTTCCTTCCTTTCTTCCCTCCCTCCTTCTTTTCTCCCTTCCCCTCCCATCCTCCCTCCTTTTCTCCTCCCTCCCTCCCTCCTTCCTTCTTTCCTCTCTTCCCCTCCCTTCTTTCCCTCCTTCTCTCCTCCCTCCCTTTCTTCTTTCCTCCCTTCCTCCCTCTCTCCTCCCTCCCTTCCTCCTCTCTTTCTCCCTCCTTCCTTCTTTCCTCCTTTCCCCTTCCTTCCTTCTTCCCTTCCTTCCCTCCTCCCTCCCTCCTTCTCTCCTCCCTCCTTCCCTCCTCCCTCCCTTCTCCCTCCCTCCTTCCTTCTTTCCTCCCTTCCCCTTCCTTCCTTCTTCCCTTCCTCCCCTCCTCCCTCCCTCCTTCTTTCCTCCCTTCTTCCTCCCTCCCTTCCTCCTTCCCTCTTTCTCCCTTCCCCTTCCTTCTTCCCTTCTTCCCTCCTCCTTCTCTCCCTCCCTCCCTCCCTCCCTTCCTTCCCAGCCTCCAAAGCTGTAGCCAGGCTATAAAATCCCCCTCACCCATCCATCCTGCCTCTCTGTTACACCCGTGTTTTGTTTTTCCCTGCCCCAATTACACCACACGGTCTTTTTCATGAGCGATTTCCGCTGAAGGAAGTGAGGTAGCCGAAAGTGAATCTCCTCCAGGACTTTTACAGCTAGTCCTCAACCCTGCGACCACAATGGAGCCCAACATTTTAATCTTGTTAAGGGAGAGACCTTTCTTAAGTGACTTTGGCCCTGTTTGATGACTTTGTTAAGGGAATCACTGCAGTCCTTAAAGTTAGTAAACCCGGTTGTTAAGTGAATCTGGCTTCGCCTATTGACTTTGCTTGCCAGAAGGTTGGATCAAAGAGGATCGCGTGAGCTCGGGACGCAGTAAACGGTTGCAAATATGAAGCAGTTGCCAAGTGTCGGAATTTTGATTGCGCGATCAAAATGGAGAGGCTACAAAGGTCGTCACTGCGAAAAATGGTCATAAGTTACATTTTTTGTTGTTGTAACTTTGAACAGTCACTAAATGAACTGTTGTAAGGCAGGGACAACCTGTACCTGATCTGAGGTTGCCTTTGGGGCTCTTTGACCTTGGTTGTTTTCTTGCAGACATTTAATTACCCAAATAGGTAACATCAACAGTGCTAGTTATAGTTTTTTACCTAGTTTGGGTAATGAAATTTACGCAAGAAAACAACCAAGCTCAGAGAGCACCAAGGACCCCTTTCGTGTCAATTCTGGACTACAAATATTCTTCTTTATTGACCTGACCAGTTTGCATTCTCATTGAACCTGGGTGAACCTTCTGTGGGTGGTCCTCGATTTATGACCACAACAGAACCCCAAAATTTGTGTGGCTAAGCAAAACAGTGGTTAAATGAGTTTGATCCCATTTTACGACCTTTGGGTCATTCCATGTCAAGTGGTCTGATTTCAGAAAAGTGCCCCGCTCGACCATCACTGCAGTTGTTAAATTAATAATCCAGTCGTTAAGTGAATCTGGCTTCCTCGTAGACTTTGCTTGTCAGAAGGCGATCACATGACCGCGAGACACTGCAGTTGTCGTAAATATGAATCAGTTGCCAAGTGTTTGAATTTTGACCACGTGACCATGGGCCTACAGATTCTGATCAGATGGACAGATTGCACTTCGATATTTTATGCTGCTAAATGAGACATTGGTCAAATAACTCTTGCCCCATTCGACGAACCTTCTTGCTGCCGTTGTTAAGCGAACCATGGTAATTCTGAAGCTGATAACATGGTTGTTAAGTGAATCTGGTGTCCCCATTGACTTTGCTTGTCAGAAGGTCGCAAAAGGGGATTGCGTGACCGCGGGACAGTACAACTGTCATAAATATGAGTCAGTTGCCAAGCATCCAAATTTTCATCATGTGACCATGGGGAGGCTGCAAGAAGTGTGAAAACTGGTCATAAGTCACTTTTTTCCAGTGCTGCTGTAACTTCGAACGGTCACTAAATGAACTGTTGTAAGTCAAAGTATTAACTATCTGGGTTTTCAACCTGGGGAGTTATTGTGCAAGTCTACTTGGTGTCGCTAACGGATAGGTCATTCTCATACAAATTTAAAAAAAAAACCATGCCACGCAAGCAGACCTATTATCAGCTGGGCCGGGTTATCTTTGTATGATTACCACTTGATGAATTGTGTCAGTTTTATGTAGCATTTCTGTTGCTGATTAAGAAAACAAGATAGTGCCAGAACAACCTGTGCGTTGAAGGAAAAAGAGAGAATCCAGTAAGTCACTCTCTGAGATGGACCAATGTCAATATTTTTATTTTGATAGAATCACACCTAAATAGCTTTATGAGAAAGTAGGAGAAGGCTTATTTTAATTTCAAAGTTTGGTTAATACTATTGATTTCAACAATATATTGGGTAGTGTTTCTGATACATTAACCATCTACAACTTGAGCCTTCTCTGTTTCAAGGAATATCCCCTACTGTTGTTCTAGAGTATCCTAAGTTCATATTATTTGGTAAAACAACATCACAGTTGTATTTATGTCCTCTTAAAAGGATCCAGGTAGCTCAATACAAGTCAGGATTTCTATATTTTCGTATTTGAAGACATATTCTATAGTGGAGAAGAATGTCCATAAATATATAAGATTCTGGTTCAGCTTCTTAAGGGACAAAAGTTTTTTTTTCTACACATTTTTAAAGAAAAATCTGTAAGCTAGCATAAATGCTTAGTATAAAAATTGTATTGGGGGGGTTGAGTTTCTCTCTTTCCTAAACAACTTAACCTAATGTTTTATTAGTCTCACTCTTTGAAATGTTGTGAGGTCCTCTTTAATTCTTGGCAATATGTATTTGCTGCCTCACTTTGTGGCTATGTTAGTATGTTAAGTATGGTTTGCTGTCCAAATCATAGGAGTTTTATTCTGTTAAACCATAATTCACTTATTTTCCTAAGCCAGAATCAAACTGAATTCTTTTTAGGACATAATTTGAATCCAATGATCTTGATAGTCTATCATGCTTAGCTGTAAATGTTCTTTAAAGCATAGAACAGATACCATGTAAGTGCCTGCTGATGCTTTCCTCATTTTCATTCTTTTAAACTTTCACATATGTAACAAATATACAATCTGGGAAAATGAAAGTATATGATATAGATACACTTCAGAATATATGAAATATAAATATATTTGTTTATACGTATTAAATAGCACATGTGTATAATGTAACGTGCTTAAGGCAGATCCTCTGTTTATATAGATTTGTAAGTTGAACCACTCTCAAATATTTCTCTTTTATAAACAGAATCATTTCAGTGCTTGTTGAAATACATAATTTCCTGCCCAATGAACTGCTGCTTTGAATAGATAATACTTGTTTTTCCTGGGAAAACCTAGGTGGTAATTTCCTGATTCAGCCAGGACCTTGTAGTGCTTCCATAGGGACCTAAATCTACCTCCCTGAAAGGATTTATAATGCTGATTTCAATAGGAAATAGAGAAAGGGAAATTTGAATGTTTCTTCATGTCTGATTTTATGTGTCATATTTGCATTTCAGTTGCTTATTTTGGCTTTGTAGTTCACTGAAAATAAAGAGGTTGGTAATATGCTGATGGTTTAAAATCCTATGAATGATGCACAGTGCATAGAAAAGGTCATTGATAAAGAGAGAAAATGCTGTGTTTTAAAAATCATGGCTCTCCATAGTTTGGAGGATGAAATTGTATCAGCTAATATCCCACTTTTCAAATTTAAAATTTTCAACAAAATCTTGTAGGATCAGCTTATCCATAGCACTGGTTGGACTTACTTAATAAAGCTGTTTAAGTCCTAACTTTGCCTTTATTCATGTTTAAAGCCCGCAGCTTTACTTTGAGGTAAAAAAATAAAATTCCAAACAGTTTAACATTTAAATACTACTTCCTGTTTTTAAGTAACCAGATGAACATTTCAGATATATGACATTCTTAATGGAAAAACTTTCAGAAGTTATGATTGTGTAGTGAAAGTAATAAAGAATACAATAAAGAACCTATTCTATTCTATTCTATTCTATTCTATTCTATTCTATTCTATTCTATTCTATTCTATTCTATTCTATTCTATTTTATTCTATTGTCAGGTGTATGCACCATTAGAGAGGCAGAGGAAAACGATTTGACTCATTCCTCTCTCACAAATTTCAAATTGAGGGCAATACTGTACCAAAGGGCTTTGAGTGAATATGAATAAGACTTCCACTGCTTCCAACTTGTATTGGATAGAAGATATTTGTGAAGGATCGGTCAATATTGTGCTACCAACAAATTTAGTCTTACTGCTTTTGTAAAACCTTTGTGAAACCTTTACCCCAAATTTCTATTTCTTATTGCTGTGCACTGTTGTGATAGGAAAGCAACCTGATTAGCAGCTGGTTTCCTGTAACAGTTAAGTAATTTGTTTAATTTTGACTTAAGACTGTTTGTACCAGGCAGATTGGATTTGTAACTTATAGTTTATGTATCATTTAACAACATTATACCAACTGGAGCCAGGATGTTGATATCACATTGTTTTAGTGTCTACAAGGCAGCCTTTATTATGGTTAGTGATTAGAGCCCCGTTTACATAAACATTAAAAATGGCTAGAATCTAAAAAAAATGATGTTCTTGTACAAGGTCTTACGATATTATGGTGTTCCATTTTTTTTA